GAGGTCGGCAGCAATTTCACACACTGATGCGTATGTCACCTTGCACCAGTTCGTGATTTCAGGCTTTGTTCTCCTCGGTCACTGAAACCGATGGCTGCCCACTACGATTCATGTCTTCAACCATCACCTGTCCTTTAAATGTTTTTATCCAATGAAAAACCTGTGTTGTGCTTCAGATTTCTGGTCCCAACACTTTTTCCAACCAGCGATGGATTTCCATCCAGCTACCACTTGCCAAGCACTGAAAGCGAATTACAGAATATTGCTGCAAAATGAGTTCAACTCTTTCTGTCTTAACACCATGAAGGCGATTACAAAAATGACTAATGACTGCAGGAAACATTTTTATATACCCTGGGCTGTATTTGGTTAAAGTTTCAGATCTCTATGACAAATAGTTTTTTTTTTTTAAGAAATATTTTCCTGAAACTTTTGGAACACCTCTCATATAAAATTAAACATGTCTATGTATGGTGAGAATGCCTGAAACATACCTATATCTTAAAAGGGTTCATAATCGAAATACTGAATAATCATTCATATGCCTGTCACCTTCCTTGACTTAGGCCTACTTTCTTGCAATTAACTCATTTTTATTTTTTCATAGATGACAATCACACCAAGAACTTATGTTTTACAGTGTTTAACATATGCACACTTTTTAGTGATGGTGAAAGTTTCAATATTTCACATGTTTACTTTCACAAAATGTTTATCAGTCCATGCTATTTCATGGCAAAACTTGACTTCCTCATGTAGGAGTGCCTTCTTAATTTTGAACAGATAACTCACAAGAGAGATGAGAACAAAACTATTTCTTATGAGAAATAATCTAAGGAAGGAATATTCAATGAAAGATAAATTGAACAGGTTGTCTATTCACTGTGATTAGGACAAGAATGTCATTGCTAGTATGATAATATTTGGTATCAAGCATATCCTCTGGTAGTTGTACTTTCTCTGTTTTTCACTGCCAGCAGAGGCATGGCATTGGGGGGGCCAGGACATGCCCCCACTTTGCAAAAAAAAAAAAAAAAGGAAGCATTATTCACACATTCACTGCCAGGTATTTAAATGGCTCAAGCTGTCATTGGTGCTGAGAGAACGACTTTACAAAAATGGCTATCACTGTGATTGGCAGCGAATGTGTTAAGAAGGAAAGTACACATGAAATGCATGTGGTAACAATGTCCTAGAACAGTGGTGCACAAACTGAGAGGCATGGCCTCCGGGGAGGGCACAAACTTAGGCCTACACTTGACCTTTTTCCTTAGAATTAGGAGTTTTGGGGTTCAAAAGGAAATAAAAAAAGGGAGAAAATGAAGGAAAGCACTACAAATCTGGGAAATTCCAAGGAAAAATCTATCAAATATTCAAATTATTTAGTCATACTTTGTGTTGTGTGAGGATTTAGTTTTAATACAATGTGCTTGATTCCCACTTGCAATGTTGCAGGTGAATCGCTAATTACATTATTAAAGTATTAAACTATTATGAAACTGCAAAAAATATTTAGGAGCAAGTGTGCAGGCCTATGCTTTACTTATAACTATGAAGAAGGGCTGTCACAATAGTTTGATGCGGCAATATCAATGGTTGGAGGTGGGTTTTTTCAATGATTAATTTTACCTTTGTGATATATCAGCAACATTTTTGAAGGGAAGATACTGAAGTATAGCACAATACAGTCTGTCCAGGTGGGAAAAGGAAGAGGCATTTTGTGATATTGCATTATTCTCAATAGCTCTTATTTAAAAATAAAGTTAATGTTATTCTACTGAAAACATATATTTGTATTTCCTTTCTCATGCCAACTTACCCAAAATTAGTCAGTTTCTGATGGAATGGAACTGGTGGAGGGGGATAGGGGAGCACAACTGAATGCATGGATGAAAAAAGAGGCATGATCACACACTGCTGTCCTAGAGTTCCCATACCATACTTTTTACACTTTTGCTACCTAGGGGTTTGAAATTTTGGGAAGTTACTTTAAAGGTTATACATAGCTAATATTTCATGTACAATGTAATGGGTGAATTAAATATTGCAGAGTTGTCAGAAGGTCATGGCCCTCATGTAACAACCTCATTCAGTGGTGTATTTTGCATTGGCAGCAGGGAGTGCAGCTGCCACCCCCCTGGGACAGAGCTTGGTGCCTCCATGGAGGTTATATTTTTCTCCTCCAATATCACTTGGGTGGAGCTTGAGGAACCCCTGCTTGACTGCCCTGACTCTTAGCCAAAATGCACCACTGACCACATGCTATGAGATCTAACTACACCAACAACCATAAGACTTGTCTGTGGATATTCACCATGTCAGACATGATGCCATTAGCTCATAACTTTTGATATTGTAATACAGATAAAATATATTATGCATCATAAATTGATAATATATGAATACACTGTATGGTGGTATATGGCAAATATATGATTATACATGGCCATATAGAATCATACACCCTGTCATATGACATTTTCATGTGGGTAGAAATATATANACTCGAGCCTCGCCTCTCCCATGCGCGTATCAACACTCGTTAGCCTTAGTTTAGTTCCTGTCTAGCCTCTGAGGACAGTTTAACGATAGTCAAATATCACTTAACTGTAAAAGTAGTCTCGCATGCCTTGGTTAGTTACAATATGCCCTCAGTTTCAGTTACCTAAAGGTAAACTGATGCTTAAAAAATCTGAACGAGGTGAAGTCACTTCCTAACGTTAGTAGACTTAGCTGTATCCAGGACAACCATGGGCAGAGTTAGGTCTATCTAAGTTAGAGACGTCAAACGTCGTTAGCGTAGGATAGGTTTAGATCAATATTCTGGACAACTTTCCAACCATCCAATATTAGGGGTTTGCTATGCTTTTGCTACCTTGGGGTTTGAAATGAATATTTTAGGAAGTTACTTTAAAGGTTATACATAGCTAATATTTCATGTACAATGTAATGGGTGAATTAAATATTGCAGAGTTGTCAGAAGGTCATGGCCCTCATGTAACAACCTCATTCAGTGGTGTATTTTGCATTGGCAGCAGGGAGTGCAGCTGCCTCCCCCCTGGCCCCCCTGGGACAGAGCTTGGTGCCCCCATGGAGGTTATATTTTTCTCCTCCAATATCACTTGGGTGGAGCTTGAGGAACCCCTGCTTGACTGCCCTGACTCTTAGCCAAAATGCACCACTGACCTCATGCTATGAGATCTAACTTCACCAACAACCATAAGACTTGTCTGTGGATATTCACCATGTCAGACATGATGCCATTAGCTCATAACTTTTGATATTGTAATACAGATAAAATATATTATGCATCATAAATTGATAATATATGAATACACTGTATGGTGGTATATGGCAAATATATGATTATACATGACCATATAGAATCATACACCCTGTCATATGAAATTTTCATGTGGGTAGAAATATATATTATGAGGAGACCACACTTTGCTTTTGTGACCCAACCTCAGTGGAGTATTTTTTGTCTTGTGCACACCTAGGATGTCCAGATATATTTTTTTTTACACTAAGCTGGCTTGCACAGTACCACTGGGCACCTATTATGTGCACCATGGGTATCTGAGATTGTTCATTTGAATGTGAAACATTGGTTGATAGGAAGGACCAACTTAACGATAGACAACTATGCTGGCTTGCATCTGTTGCTGTACATTGAGACATTCATGTTGACAGCAAATCATGGAAGCAGCCTTCAAGTTCATTTCACTCAGAGCTTCCTTATTCCTTTTCCTGTTCTCCCTCTACAACATGGAGGGGAGGCTGGAGCAAATGAGACACCATTGGTGCAAGCAGATGCTGTGCCATTTGTGTCAACCAATCGGATCACAGATCTCAATTAGGCAAGTCATATGTTTGTTCTCAAGCAGAGCGTTTGCAGAATCTCATTCATGGATCAGGAATGGGATGAAAGGATGTTGCTAGACATATCAGAAGGAAAAGTAAGGCCTGTCTAATTTTGCTCATAATCTTGTTCAAGTTTCCCTCTGAGTTTGCAAACTTCCACAAACCTGTTCCTTTTATAAATCTGTGAATCATGCAAATTGTTTTAGTGACATCTTCCTCTATCACAGATGTGGATTCCAACCTCTTTTCTTTTTTGCTTGTTGTATGTCTGAGCCTAGTTGGCGCACAATGTAGCCACTATTGGTGGGAAGTGTGCACAAAATGAAGGATAGTAAGGCAGTGATTCTCAACCTTTTTTGACCTATAGATCCCCATCTGATTGCAAAAATCTAAATCGGTGCTATCTTGTCAAAAAGAGCTTGCAATTGATTTATCTAGTGTGCCATTCCACTGGTGGTCCACTTTGGAAGCCATTCTGTGGGGAACTGCACATGCCTCCTTTACTGCTGCATGAATTTGTTAGCTTTTTAAAATAGTTTAAGTAGCTTTGAAGACAGTAAATTTGAAGTTGACTAAAGATACTCTTATTTAAATTTGAATTTGATTTTAGTTCTGTCTGTTATTTATTTTGGCTCAGGCCAAGTGGGATCCCTAAGGGTCTGTGGACCCCAGGTTGAGAAATGCTGCCCTAGGGTTACAGGACCATACTGATGGATATACATAACAGTAGATGCTAATTTTCCTATTTGAGCCAAAAAAGTTGAATCTATTTATTAGAGCAGTCAATTCAATTAATTTAATCAACAGATTAATCTTTTAAGGTATTAATCAGGATTTAAAAATTAATTGAAATTAATCAAATTTTAATCAACCTAATCTCTCTCCATTCAGAATGCCTCTTTTTCCTTAGTTTTATAAAATAGCAATACTTTAGTCAATTAAATTAATCGCATTGACAGCCCTATTATTTATAGATCTCTTTGGGTGACTGCAGGACAAACTTTTAGGAACCTACTGCTAACAGAGAAATGTCAGTGGAACATGTCTAGGTTACTTGGCAATAGAAAATTCAAGTTGTGCATTAAAGTAGTTTCATATGCTGATCATTTGCATTTCTGTTTAGTTCCATGCAGAGGAGCAGTACTGCCTCAGTTGGATAGATTCTGGACACAAACTCATCATGTCAATGCATGCATCCCCTGAATCGAGGGGCGTGACACATGAGACTCGCTCTGAAACTCCTCCTAGTCGTCAGGCATGTGAAGCAGAGTGTCAGACTGTCCCCATGATGAGTACACAGGAACTACTTGGCTTATTTGAGTGCCCAGTCTGTTATGATTACATGCTCCCACCTATCTACCAATGTGTTCAGGGCCATCTCATCTGTTCAGTGTGCAAGCCCAAGGTAGGT